CACTTTGCTTAGATAATTAGTTGGAGGTAGAGCTAGGGTTAGATGAATGAAACAAACATGAATACATTCTAAAAATTAACCACATGTGAGGGAACAACCTAAAAATTAAAAAGTACTTTTAATATGTACTTTTGGCATAATAATGGCTCCTTACAACTATCTTTAAAATTTAATAAGTTAGTACAATATACAATTCAAGCAATATAAATAAATATGCATATAACGTGGTATAAAAAGAAAAGCAATCACTTGTCAGGCTGTTATTAAAATAGTATTGAGAATCAGTGTAATCATTTTGAGTTCTGGTAATTGGAACAACAATTGCCCAAATATAATCATAGTTTCTAGTTATTTCTGTCTGACTGTAGTGCAATATAAAGTTATTAATAATAAAAACATAATTCTAGAACACAGATTCCATAGCTATGAACATAATTGCAGAGTCATGATACTGTAACAAGATAGGAAGTGTCTGGTATCTTGGAGAGGTTAGATACATTCTAGTGTTCCAGTTTTAGACAAGCCTATGTAAGGAGAAATCCATAAATCTACACTCTGTCAATAACACTTAGATCAAAATGTTGTAGAGAGCTACCAAATTCCTCTGCAAAGCTTTTTTGTTGTTATTATTCAAAATTTTCAGTTTAAATCCAAGAAAGCATCTCCTGAATATGGTAAACTCTTTGTCAGTCCCTAAACTTCTGGTTCCCTAAAAGCAAAGAAATAATCAGAAGCCCCCGTTGGGCAGCACAGCGACATCTCCCTGGCAGTCCCACATGCACACACCCTCCCCTCCCCATTCACTCACAGCCAAAAAGATTTTGTCCCGATTGAATTAGGGCATCCACCACAGATGGCATAAACCCACAATCACCAATCCATCAGCAGGGAGGCTGCCCTCCGAAGTTACGGTACCACATTTTAAAACCCCAAATTGGGAAATGGAGATAAATATGCATACATCAGAAAATATTGTAAATTGGGGCATCTGAGAAAATCCAAGGCCATGGCTGCAGCAAGTCGAGAGCTGAAATCAATGGTCCATGTCATTCTAGAGCCAGTTCTATTTCTTCATGTTACCAGTATTCCCTGTGCTTCCATCACTGAGAATGCAGAGAACTAGAAAGATGGTGACATGGTGGAACCTGGCTCAAAAAGAGGGACCCTTATGTTGGGAGCCGGCTGTGCCTCAGTGTCTGACATGGCCAAGCACACTGCTATTGTGACAAATTCTGAAGCTCTGACTGAGAAACAGATACTGCTTTATGTCTTGGAAAATTTAAATTCCCCTTTGGATGTCCCCAGTAGGATAAAGATCTGACACCCCTTCTTATATTGTTTCATTTACCCTAACCAAATAAGTGAGTTTTAGACATATTACGATAATTCTGCTTTGCTGTTAGTTTCTTAGTAATAGATAAGTTATGCACCTTATAATTGTTAGGACTCTATTTACCCAGTAGTGCTTGAAACAATTGCCAAGTAGTTATAGTAAACATCCTTTAGGCGCTAAGGCAGAAATTCAGCTTTGGTAAAGATTGAAACATAGTTAGGATAAGTTAGTCATTAGTATAGAACGGATCAGGCTGTATCCTGTAACAAAAAACATCACCAGAAGGTAAAACTTTGAGCAAAACAACTTCTCAGAAAAATAGACCCTGGGAGAGAACATGTAAGAAAAACAACTTCCTAATAGGTAAAAGTTTAACTCTGGAAAAAACAGCTCAATAATATAGTCAACTGTCCAGTATAAAAAGAACATGCTGTAAACAATAAACTGAGACACTTCTTCTTGAAAGCGCTCCTGTGTCTCTGCGCGTCTTTCTTCTTTTTCCTCGCCAACTCCGTCTCCACCTGAGGGAACCCCTGGACCTGTGGGAGCTGGTCTCCCGCACCCTTTGAGAAATGCAGTTGTGTTTTCCAGCTTCTTTCCCCAGCCCTGCTCAGAAGACCTAGAATCTTCTCTAGGTCTTGCCAATGTCAAAATTAATGACAGACTTTAAGCCAAACAAGAATCAGGAGGGCCTGTAGAAGGGGCTGCCCCAGGCATATATTTCTTTAGTAAAAGGTTTATCTTTGCTTTATCTTTGTCTTATGCAAGCCCTGCCCATTGTTCTTGTGCATCTAGGCTAACACACTTTTGAGATGCCAGAGTAATCCTCTTTTTCAGACCCTTCAGAGGCAAAACCACCCTCAAGGGAACACATAACCTTGGTAAGTACCCTGTAATCCAATCCCCACCATGCTTTCTCCCACATTCATTTAAACTCCTATGTTCTCTCCTTAATTCCAAATAAAAGAAACCACAAAACTGTCATTCTCTAAAAGCATCTGAGATCTTGCTTTCCGGCAACATCATCAGTGTGCTTCAAATAAACTTATAAAAACTCTGTACATGTTTGGTGTTCTTATGTCAATAACACCGGCCTCATCAGAAAATGGACTAGACCCCATTTTCTGCACTCCTAGCCTGTGGCTGTGAATCTGCTTAAACGATATTGACTGACCACCTGAAACAGCAAGGTTGCTGTTACCCATCTGGCCCCAAGTCATGTCCATCTGGAGATTCTTGTACTTGGCCCATAAGATCACAACTGCTATTAAATTGCTACTGGCCCTCACCTGAGGTAAGAGCTGCTGGGAGCCATGCAAAGGCACTGCCTGTAGTGTCAGCCCTCCTTGTCTAAGCCCTTCCCAGTCCTGGCTCCTGCTTCTTTCCAAATGTCCAGACATTGAGGTCCCAGCAAGCTTCCTGGCAAGCCAATGCTAGACATGTGCCCCTGTATTTTACAGATGAGAAAATCCAAATTCAGAGTAGTTAAGATTGTCCATATAAGCAGCTGAAAACTAGTGAAACTTACGAAAACTAGGACAGAGGGGCATATATACATCACAGTTACAAAACTTAGACTTACCGACAGAGTACAGAGTACTATAATGAAAGAAAGATTTGGAATCACATGGACATGTATTAGAATCTTGGCTCGGGTACTATCTGCATGATTGTACACGATTAACTTCCTTCTCAGTTTTCTGATGTCTAGAGTGGTGATAATGCCTGCATTAGTTATCTATTGTTGCATTAACTTATATCCACAAACATTCATTATATATAAGATTCTGAGGTCAGGAATCTAGGTGCAACTCACCTGGATCTCAGACTCAAGGTCTCTCTCTGGTGAAGTTGCAGTTAAGATGTCAGCCATGCCCGGCGTCTCATCTGAAAGCTTAACTTGGGGAGAATCACTTCCAAGCTCACTCATCTGGTTAGCAGGACTCAGTTCCTCTAAGCTGTTGGACTGAGGACTTAAGTTTCTCACTGGGGTTGGCCAGAGGGAATCCCTGTTTCTTGCCATAGGGTAGCTCACAACACCTACGTTGGCTTTTCTCCCAGCAAGCAAGCTAGAAAGCAAGAAAAGGCCCCCCAAGACGGAAAACCAGGCTCTTTATAACCAAATCTCAGAAGTTTCAGCCTTTCACTTCTGCCATATTCTATTCCTTAGAAATGAGTCACTAAATCCAGACTAGACTCAAAGAGAGATAACTACTCAAAGGTGTGGATACCAGGAGGCAGGAACTAAATGGGGGTCCTTTTAGAGGCTGCCTAACACAGCACTTTTAATGTAAAGGATAAAAAATAGAAAAAAAAAGTATTGAAAGCACCCTGAATATAGTAGGGCCTTAATAAATAACAAATATTAGTGAACTACAATTTCTGACAAAGAATCCATTTAAAAGCCACAAATTTGTACTTCCCAAAGAAAGAGGCTGGATAAATCATTATGTAGGGCTCATTATTATCTAAAAGTATTTTTTTTAAACAAGAAAGGAAATTTAATGTTAACATTCTACTTGTCTAAAAATCAGCACATAGGCAATGTTTCTCAAACTTGCCTGAGTGCAACAATTATAAAAGTATTTTTGTTCACTATAATTGTGCTTAACTGTATTTCAGAGTAAGTTTCAGGTAGTGGAACAGAGATTTCTAAAGTGTTTACCTCACATTATGAGAACAAGAAAATCATTGGGTAGGTAGGGACAGGTATTCCTAGTTGCTAGGAGATTAATTAATTCCCAGAGTGATTAGTCATTTTGAAGGTGATGCTTAATAGTGACATTTATTTTAAACTGTAGTATTAGTGAAAATAATCAGGTAGATAAATGTTGAGACTAGAGGCTGTCACACTTGTATTTTTCAGAAAGAACTTTAAGACTGGTTGTGAGGAAGCGAGTGCAGTCCTGACGTGTAATCCTCTGACCCTCTAAAGCTCCTACTGTTTGCTTTCTTTTCCTTAAATTCTGTGATTCTGCACATGATCAAATACATCTTTCTATGACAATACTTACGTGTTAGGATTATCTGCCAACATGTCTGTTTCTTCCACTAGTATAGTTTTTGAATATAGAGTCTTTGTCTTAATTTTATTTATATTCCCAACTCCTAGCACATCCGCAGTCCTGCACATAGAAGGCACTGAAGAAATGTTTAAGCATTGTTGAATAGTCCATTTCTATCCCTTTTAAAAATAATTCAGACTAAGATTTTTAGCATTCATGGTCTAACAGGGCATTATTTTTTAGCATATTTAGGTAAGATTCAGTAATTTTTAAGAACAATTTGAAAATCTCAAAAATCCAATTCTTTACAATTTAACTTGCAATCGTTTATAATAGGGTTCCACACGAAACTAGTAAGCACATTAAATGTACTGAGTCCTTTGACCCTTCTTCAAAGGAGTCAATTGGTGATTATGGCTATATAAAAAAGTAGTAAATTTCTCTAGAAGTGGATATGGAGTACAGTTGAAGTATGCCAACTGGGAATTTTCTTAAAAAACTGCAATGAATGTGATTTTTCAAAGATGGGGGGGGGAAAAGCATACATAAGCATTCAAGAATCTGTTGTAATGAAGCTAGGGACAGTTTTATATTTCTTCTGACATAGTTGTTCATTCCTTGTTCAGTTCCTGACTTTCCCTGTCAGTGAGTTCAGACTTCTTGATTTCATTCTCCGTTTGCCAACAGATGCTGCATTTAAAGCTGGAACAAAGGGTTCTTTTTAGAAAAGGGGCAGTGAATGGTGGCTTTTACACCATTCCCTCATTCTCTGTGCATATGTTCCTCCCTTATCCTACCTCCTTCATTGTCATTGAACCCTTATCTTCCCTTTCCTTTTTTTTTTCTGTCTCAACTCCCTTTCTCTTCCAACTCTCCTTACTTGCTTACCCCAATGTCTTTCCTTCTTCCTTTTTTCTCTTTACTCCTCAACTATATTCACCATCTGTTCTACTTTATAGTGCACTTGTGCTTTTACTCATTCATTCATTCCTGAATCCTTTTCTTGTCACTCTTATCCTCAGCTGGTCATCATCATTTTTCAAAATCTGTTCTGAAATGAACACATCAGTGTGTGTGTGTGTGTGTGTGTGTGTTGGAGGAAGGAAACCAGAGAAAGTATTCAGTGTTTTTTCAAATTTCATATTTTCCTCTTTCAATAATTAGAGCACTGACTGCTAAGAAAGATGCCGCTACCCACCATCACATTCCCAGACTTTATCCCACCTCTTTAAAAGTGGCATTGTTTAATTTAGTGAACAGGAGCTTGAGACTGTACATAGAGGGCATCAGAGAACTTAGTAAAATAAATTGGAATGAGAAAAAGGAGTATATTACTTATGCCCTTGGAGACAAGTCATCATGTTGAAGTGAGGAAGCCACGCAAGAAAGACAAGAGGTCAAGCTGAACAGGACCAGGTGCAACTCAGAGGCAAAACCATCACATTTCAGTTACCAGTCTAGAACCAATGAACTTATAGAAACCCCTGGACCAAAAAGCATCCCATGTGTCATGTTTAACCACATTAATGCCTGCGAAATACACATTATAAAACAAAGACTCGTGTTCAATCTCATTACTTTAATCATTTTGTCAAAATAACCCGAACATGTATATATAAATATTTAATCTGTTATATAAGAATGTGTGGCATAAAAGTCCCTGAGACAGATTCAAAAATGACTGGAGATGTATTCAGTACAATCAGCATACTAATTACCAAGGACTTGGCTCCCTTCCCTGATACCTAAGGCATGTGACACTTTAAAATATATATTATGTATATATATATAATATAATATATGTGCTAAAAGTCTCCCTCTCTGATATGTGGTTTTCTGCCATTTCCTAACGCTGTGTAGTAAGTCATTTCCAGACTGTAAGAAGGCACAGTGGGAGGTGAATTAGTTCTTAAAGCCCTAGGGTGGCAGTTTAGTAGAATGATGGCAAGTGGAACTAGAAGTCCCAAGGGAAGATTTTGGCCAACTCTCTCATTTGCAATTCAAGTGATAGAGGCTCAAAGCACAAGCACAGCTGGTTCTGCCACTACTACTGTCACCTTAGGCAAGTCCTTCAATGGGTCAGGACCTCAGCTGCTTCTCCTGCAAAATGGACTGGTGATAATCACAGTTGACATCTTCAGGTGCTTCCTACACGCCAGACACTTTTTTTTTACTGAGTATTTAAGTGTCTTATCTAATTCTCCCAACATCTCCTTCTCATCTATAATTACCTTCAATTAGAGATGAGACTATCAAAACACAGAAAGCTTAAATAATTTGCCCAAGGTACAACAATTAGGAAATGTTGCAAAGCTGGTCTAGGAACCCAGGAATATCTGCCTCCAAAATTTAAAAATTCCAATTCTTAAGTCCCTTCTCTAAGAATCCCCCATCAGGTAGGTTCTCAAATTCCTTACATCGCTGGAGGTCTGGAGCAGAGTTGACAAACTATGACCCATGGGCCAAATCTAGGCACCCCATTTGTTTCTGTATTGTCAAAGGCTGCTTTTGAAACAGTGGAGTTCAGTAGTGGCAACACAGACTATTTTAGGCCTGCAAAGCCTAAAATACGCAATATTTACTCTCCGGGCCCTTTGCAGAAAATGTATGCCAACTCCTACTAATGTAGAGCCTTGAAAATTTAGAGCATCCTGTAACCGTACAGTGCTTTACAATGTACAAAGCACCTTGTGTACATCATCACATTTAATCCTTGTAGAGGCATTCATGCATTATTATAAAGGAGGAAGCTAAAACTCAGTTTAAGTAGGCCCTGCCTAATAAGGGCCACAAGGGCAAAAAGTGGCAGAACCACATACCCAGGTTCTGACTCCAAAATTGCAAGCTCTTTCCATAAAACCACCCTGTCGCCCTGATGCCAGGGAAGGGCTTGGAAACTGGAAAGGACCTGTGAATACTGAAAGCAAGTCAGACTGTCTTCCTGATACAAATATCATTCCAGGTTCATTCATGTAGTTAAGAGTCACCAAGGACTAAAACTATTAAATTTGTAATAAATTAAAAGAAAAGTTTATGTCTTAAAGAAAGGGCATGTCAATCACTGGAAAGACATTTTGAAATCTATATGATGCATTTGTATGCATCTTATATTAATGTATGTGAAATTTTAATTTACTCAATTTAGAATATGAAAAATAACATAAAATAAGCAATTGCTACATTTTTCTTGGTCTTTGATAATATTAGCCTAGAAAAACATTCCATTTGTTCCATACCCAAAATTTGCAAATAAAAATGCAATTACACCTTCCTCATGTGTAAATAGACTTAATGCTAAGAGGAGCATTAGTAAAACAAGTTACTTATTTAACTATATAACCTAACGAAAACAAAAACAAAATTTTTTTCAAAGAAAGCATAGGTGCAAATTCAAACTCAATCTAAATGGCAATGATGATTTTTGAAATAATATAGCTCAGCTTTAGGGATTCAATTTGATGTACACTACAAAAGGCCCTTCCTTTTATTTCAGACATACCTTGAGCTTTAATTTTTAACATATAAATGGATATGGCGGCATCCTGAAATCACTGCATGGAAAGGAGAAAACATCTCTTTCTTATCAATTGAGTGACTACTGTGTTAGGCACCGTTACCTATTTTATTTCCTGAAATACTCACAGTGAGCTGTGAAATATCTTCCTTCCCCATTTTACAGATAAGAGAGCTGAAGCTCAGGGTTATTACTAATTTGCCCAAGGTCACACTGCTAGAATTCAAATCTAAGCCAGGTTACCTTCAAAACCCAAACTCTCTCTCACTGCCCCATGTAGATTTCCCGTAACACCAAAGTCACTGGCCAATATCTCATTAACACTCATTTTAAGAATAGAAGTTTTCCTTTTCTTTACTGGATAGGTGATACTTTGTAAATATAATTCTGCCCACGCTATACTATTTTAATAAGGAAATTTTGTCCATAGATTTTAATTTCTCCTTTTAAGGATAAGAGAGGATCGAAACACTTTTTAGATTTAAATGAGTCTATAACAAATGCAGAGATAAAAACTGAGGATTCAGCTAATTGTAGTAGTCAAATGCAAAATTACTGTTTATACCAAAACTCTGCATAAACCAAATTAATCTTGGACCCTGCCCGCAATAATTAATCACTGAGGGTCTTTATTATAATAAACCAAGGAGAAAAATAAACGATTTCAGGCTGTAACTCAACTGGCTTTCTAATACTTCATTTATGGTCTGTATCACTAAGAATGTCACTTTAAACAAACAGATTCTGCCAACTGATTTATCAAATCACTATTTACTTGTTGGCAGTAGTTGATTGTAAGAGCCTTAAAAGAGGGACCAAGTTTTACACATTTTTGTCTTTCCGGTGGCACCCCAAGCCCAGTGTTTGGCACAGAGTAGGCACATGGTAACACTTATTGAACATGCTGCTCATTCAACAACTTTTAAAGTCAATGCATATATTTTTTAAGTTGATCCCATGGCACAGTCTCAAAGGCACTAGAAATGAGAGGATATTATGTAATACTATGCAGACTAGGAGGGGAAACTGCTGGCCTCCGGGAGAACTGCAAATTCACCCTTTAACAAAAGACAACGTTCATCACAGGCACTAATTAAGTTCCATTCCCTAGCAACTAAACACTTAACAAAAAACTGACAGAGAAACAAAAACTGCCATTAGCAGGCATGAGAAAACTGTTTTCCTTTTGCATGATTCCATAATACAGTACAATATTTTTCACTGTTCTGCAGACAGGTAATGCAAACACCCTTGGAGGGCTGACATTCTAGTTTAAATTTGGGGTCCAGTCAATACGCAAAGTAAGTGATTTTGTAGAAAGTGACACCATGGCTTCTTTTTCTTCTGTTTGTTAACACAGTCTGGTTTTCTGGGAAGAGGGAAGAAGATGGTTGTTTCCACTTTACGTTCACAGCTATCATTTTAATATGCTTTTTAAAACAATTCAGATTATGGAAAAATACAGACACAGAAGAAATAGTTAGGAGGTGATTATTCACATTGTGAAGGGATTCTCCATAGGGTTTGACTAAATACTGAACTCCACTAGGGCAGTGAACTTGAGATTTGATTGAAAAGCAGCTTTTCAGGAATATATCTGTGTAAAGTGAGGTACACTTATACAAGTATATTCATCTTAACTTTTCTCCAAGGACAATCCAGCATCTTGTTTCCATTCATGGGGCAGGGGAACAAACAGTACTTGTTAAGGAACAGTCAGTGGATTCTTGGACCCCTCTCCTCACCTTTCTTAGGAGCTGAGGCTTTGAGGAATCCAAGAAAAAGACCCCCTTGTGGCCACAGTCCTTCCACTATCCTGCAACAAGGCTCTTTCTAAAACCGGGGGTTTGCTGCACATTGGCTCGGTGAAATGTGAGTCGAGGAGCAGTGTGTACGAAATTTGGGCTCAGTTCAGCATAGGCCACAAATATGGCCTGTGGCAGATGAGGAAATTCAGAGCAACTGCCTTAACAGCTTCTAGTCATGAAGCTCTTTTTTCACCTCTGCCCTGCTTTGTTACAAGATGAGGAAGGACCCCCCTTCTCCCCTGAACACCCATGCCCATCAATCAACAGCAGAGGGAGCCCAACTGCTAGGTGCAGGGGAAAAAACATGAGAACCAGGGATCCTTTATCACCCAGTTTTTGTGCTGAATAATGTTAATCGGTAAATCACCTTCTTCCCATAGAGTAAAACTGGGTGTTTGGAAAACTTAGTCCCATGACCCGGCACTCAAGGAGATGCACAGCAGAGGATCAAAAAGCTGATGACTTAGCCTCCCTGAATTACACCTAGGAAGAGGGTGGCTTCACCGTTCAAACCAGCGAGCCAAGTTGCGTATGCTTTGGGGCCGGTTCCCAGCCATCTGCACAGCCTGGCAGACCCGGCACCAAGGCTCGTCCCAGAAGGAGATGGTGTGCACCGCATAGCTCCGGCGCCAGTTGAAGTAACGGCGGTAGGCAGCTGGATTTCGGTCAAGGAAGAGCAGGTAGGCGGCCAGGGAGGAGGCACTAGGGAAGTCGTCCACGTGGATGAAGGCACCGCGGGGCACAAAGCGCTCGTAATTGGCACGATTGGGACCCAACACCACCGGTACCGCCCCAGCCAGCAACGCGTTGCGCCAGAGCTTCTCGGTGATATAATCCAGATGCTGAGAGTTCTCGAAAGCCAGGTAGAACTTGTAGCGGGCCACCGTGTGCAGGAGCCCAATGTCAGGCACTGGCCGCCGGGATTCACCTTTGCCGAACACGTCCACGGACACGTGCTGGCTCAGCTGGTGGTAGTAGCGGACCCGGGCCTGGCGCTCATCCCAGTTGCTCACTACCCAGGCCACTAGCCCGCGTTTCCGGGCCAGCGAGGGGACCAGGCCTGGAGGCTGGTCGCTGGGATGGGTTCTGGGGTACAGGTAGCCATAAGGCACAAAGACGTCAGAGTCGGCCCGGTAGGAGAGCGTCCAGTTAAAGAGATTACCTGCCAGGCTTCGCAGCCCGGGGGAGTGGGAGGGTGACTCGAAGTTCATCCACACCCAGCGCTGACCCGGTGGCCTGGGGCCGGAGGCAGCCAGGGTTTCGACAGCCACCGCCGCAGCTTCCTCCTCGTCGTCCAACACCCGCAGCTCCAACTCCTCTGTTGTGCGCACCTGGACGCCCCAGGGCGGGGGCCAGTCGGGGGGTCCGTTCACGAGGTCTCGGTGGTGGAAAAGAACAGCCTGGGCCTCCCCGTAGGCCGCACGGTCAGTGAGCAGGCGGCAGCCGGTGATATTGAAGCGCAGCCAGCAGTCGGGGGCCGGCCTCGTAGCTATGTCACGCCTCCCGAAGGGCTCCCACCACAGCAGCACGCCCACCGGCCGCGGCGGGGCTTCGGAGGCCCAGCGCAGCGGTGGTAGCTGCCCCCAGCAGGCGTAGGCAGCCAGGGTCGTGCACACCAGGCCAGCGGCCACCAGCGCCGAGGCGGTCCGTGGTAGCCCCCAGGCTCCGCGCCGCCGGCGGCCCCCGGGCACCCACGGCGCCCCCGGGGCGCGCGCAGACATAGCCGCCGCCGCGGGCCGCTCGTCCGCAGGCGGGGAGCAGCGGCGTCCTCTCTCATACTGCCGCTGCAGCTCCAGCCGTCGTTGCCTCTCGCCGCCAGCCTTGGACCCGGGGAGGGCGGTCCTGGAATCCCAAGGCCCGCAGGGCCCACTCCCCTCCCCGCGAGTCTCTATGGGGCGCGCCGCCAGGGCGAGGTGAGCGAGCTGGGCAGCCCAGCCGGGCGCCGCCCCGTCCCTCTCTCCCTCTGCGCCCCTAGCCCGACCGGACCGGCCAGGCCCCGGGCGTATCCTGCTGCACATCCGCCCACTTCCCACCTCCTCCATTGCTCCGGGACTCCCCGCCACTCCCCACTGATTCCTCACCCGCTACTCCGGATTCCGTCTCAGGGGATCCCGGGCCACTCTGCGCGCGCCCACCGCTCAAGTTTTGCGCCCGGGCCCGCCTGGAGCTCCCTCCCAGCTGCGCTTCGGCGCTCAATCGCGGTGGCCCAACCCCGCACCTTCCAGAGTGAGGACCGGGCTCATCCCTGGGTGCGTGCTGGGGTTATGAGACCTTCCAACAGCCGCTGTGGCGCGAGGGCGGGCGCAGGCACCGAGGGAGGGCGGGCGGGGGATGCCCAGCCTCCTGGCAGAACTGAAGATCGGAGTCCACTTCCTTTCTCACGACGCTTGCTATGGCCAGCGACGCCTGCCGGAGGGAGGGAGCTGGAGAGGTGTCTATGACCTTGACCTCGTGACCCACCGAGACTAGGTAGTTGTGCAGTGGGCTGCCCCCAGAGCTGACTTATAGAGGTTGTGCATTTTGTGAAATCAAGTTTTCAGGTGAATAGTTAAATCCTACTGTCATAAGAACATTCCCTTTGCCTACCGCCCCAGCAGAGGACAGATTTCTGAGCCATCCTTCTTTTCTTCGCTCCCACACTGAACACTTCTGACTTCCAGCTCGGGCTCATAGCATTCTTTCTTCTAGGGCTAGGACGACTCTTTAAACCAAAGTTAAAGATATAGGCCCTTGAGGCCTTTGTCCTCAGGGAACTTCCTGCCTATTCAGTGAAGTAAATGTTTGAAGTTCACCATTAAATTTACTAAGCACTTAAGAAACAATTTCAATTTAAGATTATGCTAAACACTCTGGACTATAGACTGATGACCAAGATAAATATAGCACTGGCCTTCCTGGTTTATCAATGAGGCAACAATCAAGACAGCTACTTCTACAGTCACTTGAGGAATTTTTTCCTCCACAGCTTGAATTTGAATTTCTGGGTTTGGGCCTTCGTTTATGTTATTCAACTTTTATTCAACGAAATTCTAAATAGGTCATGGATGAGCTGCTGACCTAAGGAGATGAAGCAGTTTTGAGAAAACTTTTAGTAGATCTTAACTGTGCCGCAGCCCAGTGCCATATACAATAAATTACAGGATGGTAAGGGAGAAACAGACTTTCTGGGAATGGGGCCAACCTGTCAGGTGTTTTTGATGTTATGCATTCAGAAAATAAACTTGGGTTTGCTATTTGGATTTTTTGTGAAGAACTTTTTGATTAAAATTCAAGTACAGGTTGTAAACGCTTCTATAAAAATGGTTTCAGGTAGCACTGCTTCCCAGACCACAGTTTGGGAGCTGGATGGACAGCAGGAGGTGCTTTGGCTATACCCATCAACCTAGCAACACTTTCTCCTACATATTAAAACCATTTATAATGTTTCTATTTTTTTAATTTCATAGAATCACTTTCAAGCTATTAAGCAAATTGTCATTGAAATCAGGAATTTCAGTGATTCTCCACTGTTATTTTTAATGAAAATGAAAAAAGCTAGGGCAGCCGGGTGGCTCAGTGGGTTAGAGCACGTGCTCTGAACAACAAGGTTGCCAGTTCGATTCCCACATGGGCCAGTGAGCTGCACCCTCTGCAACTAGATTGAAGACAACAACATGAGCTGAGTTGTTCCCCAAACGGCGACTGGACTTGGAGCTGAGCTGTGCCCTCCCCAACTAGATTGAGAACAACAGCTTAACTTGGGGCGGATGGGTCCTGGAAAAAACACACTGTTCCCCAATAAAGTTTTAAAAAGTAAGAAAGAAAAAAGCTATAAATGCACAAATAACTTTTTTCAACTAAATAAAGCAAAGGGCATATTGGTTTTTCTTTTTATGCAATTCAAAAATCTGTACGTTTATGCACATTCCTCCCCCACTTTTAAGTAAGACATCATAGATAGAGCCTATCATTGTGTTCAATACATGGTAGGTAGGCACTTTGTAAATGTTAACCTACGTGCTTGTTCCTTCCCCCCATTCCCAGTGTTTCCTTAAGTCCTCCAGACATTCCAATTAAACCAACTTTTTACTGGGGGAAGGCTCAGATCTCGTGAGTATTAATTTCCATTGTGTCCACTTACCTTGTTTGGGGGCAGGACCACAGATTGTCCCTGTTTTAGTCTTATCTTGGTGTGGTGGGGAGGGTATGGCTGGATCAGTGGAAACGAATCATGACTTCTCGACAAACTACAGTCATGCCCCCCATAAGGATGTTTCGATCAATGATGGATTGCATATACTACGGTGTTCCCATAAGATTATAACAGAACCGAAAAATCCCTTTTGCTTGGTGACATCATAATTACCTTAAGGTCGTAGTGCAACACATTACTCACATTTGTGGTGATGCTGGTGGTAAATAAGCCTGCACATAGAATTATGTACGGTGTGTAATACTTGATAATAAATGACTATGTTGCTGGTTTATGTATTTTCTACACAATACTTTTTGTCATTATTTTAGTGTGTATTCTTTTTACTTATGAAAAGAAATTTTGTTGTAAACAGTATGCTGTGTTACACTGGGAACAGCCTCAGACATCTGGTGTATACTGCATCTCTTGATTGTATCATTTCTCTTGTGCTTGATTTAATCTCGTGTTGTTTTATACAGTAACATGCTGCACAGGTGTGTAGCCTAAGCCAGTAGGCTATACCATCCATCTAAGTTTGTGTAAGAATACTCTTATGATGTTCACACAAAGACAAAATCACCTACTGTCACATTACTCAGAACGTATCCTTGTTATAAGTGGCACACGACTGTATTAGTTGAAGGTCATACACCTTGATTTATTCACAGGTCAATGGTTTGTTCTTTAAAAAGAATGGAGGGGAGGATGGAAAGAGAGGAAAGGTGTTAAGGGAAAGTGATAATGCCAGGTGTTCTTTTTTTTTTTTTAGCTGAGCCATCCTGCTACCTGTTGGCAGCTGAGCGACTACTCAGCTTGGGCCGGGACTCAAACCGCTGTTGCTCAGAGCTCACACTCTTGAGCGAGCTCTTAACCAACTGAGCCACTCGGCCGGCCCTCATGCCAGGTGTTCTTATTTATTCATTTAACCAATTGGGAAACTGGGGTGAAAAACGCTATTTCTACCTTCAAAAATCCATGACAGAAACAGACAGTGGTGGGGGAAGGGCTCATGGAAGGCTTTGAGAAGGTGGCTCCTGGAATAATTAGGAATAATTAAAACGGGGGATGAAGAGGGCTGAGATGTTAGTCTTAACAGAAGGAGCAGCATACTGCAATGGCCAGGCAGTGAGGACTGGGACATTAGGTTAGGAATTACTAGGGTTTAGTTTGACTAAAGAGTAGAAGTTTTATCCTGAAGGCTGTGGAGAGTCCTTGAAAGGTTTTAACAAAGCAAGGGAGCAAGATAGAGATTAGGGGCTAGCCGAGTGGCGCATTGGTTAACAGCTGGCCTGGGACGCCAGAGGGCCCCTGTTTGGATCCCACATGAGGGCCAGTGACACTGCCCTCTACAGCTAAGATGCTGAACAACAGCTCAACCTGGAGCTGGGCTGCTGTGAGTCGCCTGCGAGGGCGTAGGCTGCAGCCCCTGTGGCAGTGGGTTGCCATGGGCTACCGTATGTAGCCAGCAGCGAGTGTGAGCGGCCAGCAGCCACCATGAGTGGCCATCAAGAAGACTGTGACTGATATGTCTCGCCCAGGAAGAGCGCAATGATGGTGCCAACTTGGGCCAGTGAAGCAACGTCCTCCACAACTAGACTGAAGAACAAAAGGACCAACTTGTCTGTTCCCCTTCTCCCAATTCCCCAGTGCTGTTCCCATCCCCCAATTCCCCAATAAAAATCTTAAAAAAAAAAAAAAAAGATAGAGATTAGAATTTTTAAACGTTTGTTGTAAGGGGAGGTGAGTATATGGAAAGGGACATGAGGTAGGCTTCTGGTGTACTGGCCATGTTTATTGATACAGGCACTGGTTACTAGGTATGTTTGCTTGGGGACATTCATCAAGTTGTATGCTTACATATGTACTTTTATTTGTGTATGTTATACTTCAGTAAAACATTTTTAAGAAAAAATCATTCTGTCAAGTAAAGGAGGAGTTGGGTATTTGGGACTGGGATAAGGGTAGAAGTAACAAGTCCAGTTGGAAAGTTATTGCTGTATTCAGATGTGAAACCAGAAGGGCCTCAACAAGGCAGTAGCTGTGAGAATGAGGAAGAACATTAAAAGAGAATAGAGTCTGAGATATTAGGAAGCCAGTCCATTGTTTAGGAAGCCTTCCTGGATATCCATATGCACATATGCCAGGTAGGATCCATGCTCCTCCTGTGTGCTTCCATTTATACATCTTTCTGTTTTATTCATAACTCCATGCCATGCACAGATCCAGGCACCTAGCAGTATTTATCATTTCAATGAATACTTGTTGAATGAATGAATGCTCTTAATATATTCGTGAAATGATCTGTCAGTATCGGTAGTCCCCACTAGAATGTGTATCATTCTATCAGGAGAAGGTATCAGGAGAAATTGGCTATGTGAATGACTTACTGTGACCTTAAGAGGCTCCTTAAGATTTCAGTGAAAAATCTACACTTGTATTAATCAGACCTAATGACAAGCATCACAAATTCCATCAAATTAGGTTGGCTGTCATTGGCCCAGCCTGGACCAAGGGCTCATTCTTGAAGCAATCACTGTGGTCAAAGATGTCTCTTTAGACCCTCTTCTTGAACTACAGGGTAGAATCAGCCCTATCTAAATCTCAGGGACTAACAAGGGGTGGGAGGGGAGTTCCCCAAAGGGAAAAATGAAGTGTTGTTACCTGAAGAAGAGGGAAGAGGTTGGTGGACAGGCAAAAACAACAGAGCCATTTGTAAGGAATCACCTGAGAACTTTTAACATCCTATGATTCTTTTTAATTTGGTAACAATAAACATATGATTCTTTGTGTACTTAAAGGTTTCTCCGTTCCCACAAAATATTACATAGAAAGAACTGGCTTTCAGTTGCAAACATGAAGAGGCCAGATATAAAGAAGGGCTTTTGGAACCTGAAGATTGATAAAGCACCACAGA